TGTATAACACAACTAAATTCAATAGTTGCACTTTCGTTACTCGCTTCACTTTTTCTAGCTACTCGAGGACCTTCAGCGGCCCTTTTGTGGATTCGACTTTGTTACTTATGGCCAAGGCTCAAGGAAAACAAGAAAATCTCGAATCCCTTTATAATTTTGCAAAATTTTCTCCCTTTATTGTTAATTAAATGTTGCCCACCTGTTTGTAACGACCACCGACAGCAAATTCTATTGTCGCCAAAGCCATCAGCGGATTCGATCTGCCCACTCACGTATAATTCGGCCATCAAGGTTATTGGATATGCTTAAATCTAAAAAAAGTTTGACTTTACGCGGTCGATGCGCTATGGTGATTTGTACAAAAGATTCAGGAGTATGGCTATGCATTTGCAAACGGTTTAAATATGTGTTTTCACAAGTATGCTTTAGCGAATGGGGCATTTCGTTTCATTATGAATTAATGGCAAGGCATAAGGATATTGTTGAAACATAGTTTAGAAAGCTCTCAGCAGATAGAGCGAACTTTTTAGCTGAAGATGGTGCACTTTTATAATAAAAGTTGATTAATATCAAAGATGATAAGGAATTTAAATGCTCAAAAAATGATCCCAATATTTTTTTTACAGATGTAGCATAAAAACGTTGCTTCATCTTCTCCTTGACATCTACCATTTCAATTTGATGAAATGTGGCAAAGAAGAATGAAAAGAACATGACTACGAAAGATCAAAACAATACGGTTTCAGACGAGATTTAGATTTTACCGACTACATAGGTTTTTTTCACTACTTTTGGAACACTGAGGCCAAAAAAGCTGCCTTATTTATCTGTAAGTTTGGGAAGAGTAAATTTGCCACAACCAGATTAGCAACAGGCTCAAAATTGTAATTGCAATAGGGAGGGAACTGGCACTTCATCGCATGTATAACCGAAAAATTTGCAAAGATAAACCTATTATTAAATTTTTTGCAGAATGTGTGAGTGTTAATATATTGTAGAAATTTAGTTGACATTTATAT